AGTAGAATTTTATTGCATGAGTTCTGTGTAACAGTAGTTTCATGTTCAAGTAAAGTGCTGAGTTGATGGCTACCTTTATGATAATCTGTGTCAGTTGTGAAGTTATTACAGTATGTTACCTTTTATTTCATGTGAAAAGTTCACAAGGAACATTGTATGCAGGAACACAAATATAAATTGAAGAAAATTTGTGGTATAGTTTGCTCATAACTCACAAAATACAAACTAACTTTATATATACATTGAGGGATCTGAAAATATTATGTATAAAAGGCAAATTAAGAGAAACATCATAATAATGGTTGGTGTGTGCTGGAGAGTAAAGAGAAAAGGGAAGTTATAGACAAATGGGTAATAGTCCTTCTGGTGCTGATGAAAGATTTGTGATTGATGGCAGTGCTTGTGGTTAGTCTGTCTGTATATCCTTATATATTTTCTAATTTAACAATAAAGAAGGAAAATAATCACCAATTATTTTATATGTAACACACTAGGACTTTATCATTCTTGAAGATAGGAAATCATCTGTGGGAAAAAAATTTTAAACATATGAGCATATTGCATGGTAAGAAGAGAACATTGAACCCCTTGGAAATTGAGTTACAGTTGATTATGAGAAGACTTGTAGTTTGAACTGAACCTGAATCCTCCACAAGAGCAGCCAATGTTGTTAACCACTGACACATCACTAGTCCAAAATGGACAGTCTTTATCACAATTAAATTGACAGCACTATGAGTCTTGATTGGCATGATGATTGTATATAATCTTAACATAGTATGTAACTGTAGGTATTAGCTGAAAACAGCAATTGCAGATATAAATATAATGTCTTGGCTTATAATGTCTTGGCTTATATATTATTAAATGTCAGCTGAAACATGACTAATACAGAATCTTTTCTAAGACTGTAAGCAAGTTGATTTCAGTGGGCAGCAGTTGTATAATGGAACAGCCTTCCACAGCTCTTTCTTCTTATAAAGGTTAATAATTTCCAGGTTTACAGCTGAAGTAAAGAAAACACTAATTCCGGATCTGTCTCATACTTCATACTTGCCTTTATTTTCAGTCACATCATTTTGTCTATTCAGAATTGAAATTTATTCAACATTTTAGTTGACTTAAAACTATAAAAATATTAATCATTAACTTTATGTTTCTAAATATATAGTTTAATACAAAGCACTTCAGCATGCTATTAAATTAAGATAATTAGTTCTCTTTTTATGATATTGAACAATAATTATGAAATTGCTTTTTTATCCTCCAAACACTCTTTTTACCCCTTTGCTCTCTTTCAACTTTCATTAATTGTTATTGCTTGAATATATGTACATACATATATAACATTAACTATAACTTGCCCAATCTTTATAGTGATATATGTATATATGTATATCACAATTTCCTATATGTTTGTGTGTATGTTTGCATTTTCATGGTTGAACATTTGGTATTGGATAATCAATTCTTGTGCTCTTCCCTGAGGGAGACTATATTTCTGCTCTCACTCATGAAGATAATTACCTTAACAGGCATTCATTTTCTTGCAACACCTACAGAAATTTGTTTTAAACTTAATCTTTGAAGTAAGAAATTGTTCTCTGTGATTTTGGGCACACATTTTTGCATTGTAAATAATATTATTGCTAACAAATCAGGAAGGTAATCATTTTGTGTGTGGTGCTTGCATGAAGCCTACAGAAATTGCAGAAGACATCACTAACATGAACTTCTTCTTGACTGAACACTTAGTATAGCCACAGTTGAGTTACATATTATTACAAGCCCTGGGCTTCCTTGCTAGTCCCACAGAAGTTAAACTGGAAATAACATCATTTGACTTCTCTTGAAACTTGCTGTGGTCTTGTGACTAAATTTCACATGAGGACTTACTTACATATGCAAACGCTAAATGTCATTTCCAGTTTAGAAGAATCT